AGCTTTCACGTCTTCTTTTTGAATAAAAGTAGAAAAATCATAATTGTACACGTATTAATAACATTATTTAAAATGAATGTCGATACGTTGTATGAAGCTAATTTTCGATTATATCATTATTGTTGTTTTGAATTTATAAGTTGACTATGATGATCATGAGACCCATTTAGGTTAAACATATAAATGTATGTAGACTCTTTCACGAATGGCTTTTATTTACCAAATTTGTTATCCTCTTCTGAACTTTGTCCACAAATTTCACCTTTTCGATGTCCGTAACCAACAGTGGGATTTATCAAATCATCATGTGCCTTTTTATCGTTATTGTTTGGTAGCTTAGAGTCTTGTTGTCAACTTCAAGGACGATTTGGTCGACTAAGCGTTGAAAAAAAAACAACGAACATAAAGACAAAGTAAAAGCAAAATCAGATAAGAAAAGAAAAGTAAGAAAACAAATAAAAAAGTAGTTGACAATAATGCAATTAATCTTGATCATATATCAGTGCATATAATCGAATGATATTTGACAGTCCAATCTATGTATTATACACATTTTGTAGCAGTGTTTTTCTTCTCACTCATTTTTGTGATGCTTTACTACCTTAATCTGACAGATTTGTTAATGATATTTTCGCTATTTCGACCGTAACAGGTGGTGAGCCATCCTTTTTAGACAAACGAAAAAGAAATCATCGCCAACTATTGTTTCCAAAAAACAAACATTCATAGGTGAAGGACGGGCGTTGCAGAATAAATTCAGTGGCCGTACTACTATTTTTCTTGGTCAACACCATTGAATTAAATATCAACGGAAAGAATATGTTAACACCAACATATTGATACTAGTTTCATGCGGTTTCAATCAAATTTTCAAATCTAAAAGCTATCAAAAAAAGAAACGAACGCATTTTTGGTCATTACTCTAATAATTCATTCTATCACAATGGATTCAATTTGTGCATAACTAGACAAGACAAAATTCTACTCAAATGATGAATCTTATAGGTCTTTGATGAAGCCTCAGTGCCATATATAAATCATCAACTGATTGTTTTATTTAACGAGATTTAAGTTCAATGTATTGGTAGACACTATTAACATGTGTACTGTATTTATCATTCACTACTATCGTTCAGCAAATATTTTAATTCAAAAATCGAAGTGACCTAAATTCTTCTATTACTCACTTGATAACTCTTTCAAAAAACTACACAATCATATATTTTAAAAAGTCAAAAAACTGTGGCCACTGAAGAAATTCCCAAGCAAACTATTCTTTCGGTGCAGTTTTGTGTCTTTTTAATTAATATGTAGAAGATTTCAATAGGAAAAATAGTTTAATTGGACCGAAAATTAATATGATATTTAGAATCAACATAAAAAGTTGAGTTGGTCTATGTGTGTAGGATTTACAGAATTTCAAGAACTTATACTTTTTCGTTGAAAAGTTTATCCGTGATCTTCCTATAGCACCAGACGAAAAATAAATTGCATCAAACCACAATCTAGACATTATAAACAAAACCTCGAAAATTATGTCAAAAGTACTAAGTGATAAAATAGTAGATGCATGTTAACTGTGTTTATCAGTACATCGGAAGTGTATCTACTTAAATTAAACGATCAGTCGATGACTTATGTAAGTGACAGGCGAGCTTGGAATCTAGTTAAGATAGGAATAACATTTTTGTAATTGTCTAATGAGAAGTAGCGTTAACAAATAAAAATAGAAACATTATTTATACAGTGAGTAAGTAACTTTTTTTGCTTTTCTACAAAGAATATAATTTATTATTATTTTTTTTTTTGATAATGAGGGGACATAAGAATATTGAATAAGTCGTAAGTTTTCAACAATTAGTAAATAGAATTTTTTTGAAGCCACGAATGGAAATAGATTTCCATTCAGGATTCTCAGATAAATCATCAAATATTAAAAACTGGAGTTTCATATAGATATTTTATATTTTTTAGAAACAATTGAATCGAACGCAAGACGAAAACTAGCAAGGCAAGAGAGGTTTTAAAAGTAAAGATGCATTAAATCATATGTATGTCTTATCATGATCATATGAGACAATAATAGATGATTATAAGTACTAATGAAATTGAAAAGCTCTTTTTTTCTCTCTAAATAGTGCAATTTATAGTATACAACATACAGTGGCTCTTATCGAATAATTTAACATTTAATGAATATCATTGAATCGCTTAAATTCAAAAACTGAAATAAATAAATATTTTCAAAATGATGTAAAAAATAATTTTAAATCAAGTAATTATCTTATATCCTAATAAAACTAAAACTTGAATAAAAGAAGAAAACGTTTATTACTATATGACTCATACAATGAAAATAAAAGAGTATTCAAAAACAAAACCTTCTTTCTTGCTGTGTTTCATGTGAGTTTGTTTTGTAAACTCTTGTCCAAATGAACTCTTTCACATTGTTTATGAAACTTTATTCCTACTATAAATTTTTTTTCTAAGAGAATTATTTTATAAATTATTTCGCACATTTCAAACTCAATTGAATTCTCATGTCAATTGTGACATATATATATGGGATTGAAGACTCATGAAAAAGCTATAAAAATCATAATTTCAGTAGTATTTTGTCTTGTCTAGTTATTCTCAGATTGAATCCACTATGATAGAATACATTATTAGAAAAATGGCCAAAAATGCCTTACTATGTTGATAGCTTTTAAGATTCAAAATTTGATCGAAGACTCATGAAACTAGTACCAATGTATCAGTCTCAACATACTCTTTTCGTTGATATATGACTCAATGAAGTTGATTAAAAAAACTACTAGTCGGTCGATTTGACGTCACATGTGCCGCTGTCCTGTATCTATCAATGTTTTATTTTTAGAGCAATGGCTCGACATGTGATTTTATTCGTATAGAAGAAACGATTTATGACGTATTATTGTCCAAATATCGACAATGACATGAGAAAACATGTTAGAATAGGTAACAAACCAATACAAAAAATGAGTGAGCACAAAATCACTGACAACCAACGTACATAAATACGCAGATATGATAGACAAATATCATCCAATTATAATATATACGAATATGCGATCAGTATTAATTGTTCTATTGTTGTATAGTATATAATTTTTTTTCTTACTTGTTCTTTATTTGTCTTTTGGTTACTGTTGACCGTTATTGTTTTTCGGTATCATTTCTACCCTATGCTCCTAAATCTGGACGGCGATACTTTTGACGATGAAATAATGATGATAATGCAGGACAATATAGTTGGATGAATCACAATGATGGTCCCAGAGATCAAGATGATGAAAACCGTGTACCAGGTCCACAAGATGAAAACAAAAGAAGAGGTTCAGAAAATGATAACCGTGATTAAGGTAAATAAATATCATTTGTCAACTAATTTACATGCATTTTTATGTTTAATCTAGGTGGATGTTGTGGTTATAAGAACTAATTAATCGAAAACGAACTTTATTCAACATATTGACATACTTTTTTTTACTTATATAATCAGAAATAAAACAAAAAGACTTTTCTGCTTTTTACAATAGATACAAAAAAAAATTATTTTCAAATATCAAGACAAGTCTACACAAAACAAAAATAATAAGATGATATAAGATATCGATTTCATTGATGCTTGACATTCATAATTTTTACCGTTGATATGAGTGTTAATTCGATTCGTAAACATATTCAAACGAGTATATACACCAGAATATTCTGCTACTGCATATCGACATCCATATGAAGTGATTCTCTCAATATTCCATGTATCCCTTTTCGAATCATAAATCATAAAAATTTCACCACTAAAATATTTTAGACACTAAAAATATTATTTAAAAATAATTATTCTTTAGCTATTCCCTTGACATGTATCTTTGCCAGCTGGGATAAAAGCTGCATAAAGTTGAATTAATATTATTATATACAACATTATGACAATATATATTTGTATATTATATAATAGGTAATTGTATTTGTTGAAGAGTATAAGATGATAAACCATTTTGTTCTAAAGATTTCTGACCGATTCCAGTACCATTCATCAGTTCATGTGAATATATTGACATATTATTTTGGATGAAAATAAATAAATTCAATATTTCACTCATTGAAATCAACATTATTTGTTAATTCTGATAGAACAATATCATTTTCATTTGTGTCAACGTAAAAATATTATCATGTAATGTAACAACAAATTTCACTGTAAACCGAATTGGACTTCTATGAATTTTATATAGAGCACCACCATCAACAATATAATTTGAAATGTATGATAGTTTAATACTAGGAAAAGAATCAGCGGCTGTTATAAATATTTCCTATTAATTAAAGTTCGATCATAAAAAAGAGAACTCAGACTTATTCATGATTCACTAGCTTTTTATTGACGAAGACTTACTATTTTTATCTAATATAGATATCTAATAGATAACTAAGTATTGATCCTGAAAAATACGTGATCATGAATAATTTCGAGCTGTGTAACTGAAAACAATTCTTCGTTCGAAAAGAAATGGTTCTATTATAGGTGAACATTTACATTGTTTCGATGATCGTATACATAATGACAAATATGAATGAGCTGAAAAAAGAAAAGATATTAAATGAAATATTGTTTTCTACGAATCATAGTTTTTTTTTGCGAATCAATAATAACTTTATATGTAATGATATGAAATGCTTCTTTTTTTTTTCTTTTGTGATTTCTATATTATTTATATCATGATGTTTCTCACTATTCTCAAATCAAGACTCTCATACTTATTATATTCTTTTAATACAGATGCTTGTTTTATTATATCAATTATAATGAATCATACAATTATTTAACATGAATAGAAATATGGTTATCTTTTTTTCTGTCCTTATAATAAACCAAAAAATTGTCTTAAATAATGAAATGCAAACATCATTATGAAAGATATTTTGAATGTTTTTCGAAATAATCTGTAACCAATCGCGATGATCGATTTGAATAGCTAATTTGTTTTTTTTATTATTCTATCCATTTCGACAAATATTTTATCATCTGTTTGTCCTTGTTTATTATCTGGTAGAAATATTGGATCGTAGTTAAATATATGTGGCCCCCGTTCTGCTACAATACATCCTGGGCAACAACAAGTAAATATAATCGATTGATAAGATGGTTCAGCACAAAATGGAAATACACATTGTACATATGCTTTTTTATCATCATAACCAGCAAGTAATTTATCCAAACCATCATGGGTAACTAATCTAAAAATCATTGAATATACGAGCTTGGAAGATCATGTAAAGCTTCAAAACATAGAGATGCATCTTCAACCAAAGCAGGACCATTTATATGTTGAGCAGCTAATATTGCCTTTTCTTTTGTTATATCTACAAATTCATAGTAATATTCAGGTACTATCAAATGGATAAAAATAAGTACTGAAATTTATTTATTTTCTTTTGGCTATCCGTAAGAACTGTGGACACCCATGGACTTCACAATTGCTGCAAACATAGGATAGAGTTCGAAACAAATACTTCATGAAAATCCATATATGGTTTAGTTTTTGGTTTTCAACATGAATATATTCTCTTTCGTACACACACATAGGTATGATACTCGTTTCAAATTCGATATTTTTTTTTTGCAGTGTTGGTGATGTCCGTAGTTATTACATGTTCCCTATTTTATTACTCAAAGTATTTTTATCTGTGGAAAAAAAGAACACAAATAGTACGTGGCTTTTCTGTTTTTATTCAAATTCAAATATCAAATGAATAGTATCAGAAATTTTTAACATGAAAACTGGACCATGTACTGGAAATGTTTTAGATTATTCTTCATATCATAAAGCATACAACACATAACTAAAGTTTCACTTAAACAAGCAAATGTCGTTTATTTATTGTTGTACTCACAAGAGAAGTCTTTCAGATGATGAGTGCTTTTCGAGTCGGAACGAATGTGCATTATGCAGATCCAAATGAGCTATGAATATCCTGAAAAAAGTTCATACTTTTAGCTTATTGCTGTCAAGAAACTGCACATTAGTATGGTATTATTTAAATGAATGCAGCAATATCAGAAAAACTGATTTACGAAATTCGCCGTGAAACTTTGGATGGAGGCTGATCTTAACAAGAATAATTTCTTAAAAAATTTCAGATCTTTTGATTGTTCCACTTCGAAGATACAACTATCGTAAAAGTGTATCTTTTACATCACTCATATAATACACTGGTAGACTCGATGTTATTATTTGAGGATACCAGCAAATAAAAAGACTTGAAACTTTCACAATAAAATATTGTCTTTAACGCCAGTCTATTTGCAAAGTTTTAAGTCAAAAATCCGTTTTCGTAGTATTTCCGAGAGTAATCACAATAATCATAAAAAAATAACGTATAAATTTAATACCTCTGTAACAATAAGCTATGGACCATGTATTCGTTTCAAGATATTCATGGCTCATTTGGGTCTACGTAATACACATAGTCTTGATTCAGTATCTATCTATGAGTTTGGAGACTTCCTTTACTTATCAAATACTTACTATCAAGATCTTATGATCTTAGATTTAGTAATGTATCGACTAATATCATTTGAACTTTCGCTAATTTATGCTTATTTTCTGTGACAATTGTGATGAACATTTTTTGACTTAGATTAAAAGTGAATACTTTCTTTTTTTGATTATTTGTTTCGCGTTTCCTATATAAACAATAGTAAATTAAAGAAAAAAGAATTAAACAAACACTTAGTAAAATATAAATCATTGTCATATTCTTTTTAAATTTTACTATTTCATAGCATTTTTTATCCATAGCTGATAGCAAATTATGAAGAAAATGTTTATGAAATACAAGAAAGAAAAAAGAGTGGACTCACATTTTCTACATATAAACCAAAGAAAAAACAAAAATATTTAATGAAATTTATAATTAATCAATAGTAAATATATCGACAAATTTTGATATTGAATTTCATAAAAAAATCGTTTTGTTAAAAATATTAACGAAAGAAAAATAATTCTTATAAAACTATTTATTACTTCCCAAAGTCGAATAGATTTTTCTAAAGGACAATCATCTCAAAATATAAAACAAATTATAATTCCACTCAATGGTAAAAGTACTATAAACAAAATCCATATATTTGTTACACAAAATGACGTACAAACAATATTATTTTTTTCCTGATTATTCATTTGTATTTCAATAGCATTCATAGTTATCGATAAATATTATTGTGTTATAATAAATATTCCTTCTGTTCTATACATTGTTCTTTTATTAGTTAGACACATAGAAAACATTGTTTCTTACTGATATTATATTCACGTTATCCAAAACCAAATCTATAAAGAAACTTTTTGAGTAAACGAAACAGTCGAAAAGCAAAACAGTGTGTTATGCTCTATTTGCTTCTCGTTTTTTATGCATAAAATGGAGCACTGAGTAGAGAAGCTTATCTTAAAATATTGAGTATAAAAGGCAAAACAAATAAAATATTTTGATTTGTTCTTCATATATCATTTGGTGATGGAATCTTTTCCATATAAATTTGAGCTTGTTTTAAGAAAGATTTTAATCGTCGCGAAAAATCAAGATCATCGGTATAGTCTCGACTTATTTTAGAGTGTCATTAGTTGACCAATAGACAAAAAATAATTCAAGTCTTATTTCTTAGAACTTGGATACACAAGTAATAGAGATAGGACCGATTCGGTTTTAAAAAAATAAGAACCGATCCCATCTCTAATTTGAAACGACTTTCTTCTTTCCACATACAGTTATATACGAAAGTACAACATTTGCTTCTTCTTCAATGTTTTTATGCATCCTCTCTTTTTTTTATTCGTTATGTGATAGATCAACAACAAATATAGTCACGAATAACACTGTAAGATAACGATTTAAATAGATGAAATTAAAAAAAAATTTTGATGTTGAACGAGTTTTAATAAGCACGATTTGGTCCTGATCGTTGATTACGATCTATTAAACAGAGAGAAAAAGAAGATATGATGATACAAAAAAAACAAGACTGATGAATAATTATATGACTTACTCCAATTTTGTCCACTGCCACCACCACCACCTGTACCTTGACTACGTTGTTGACCTTGTTGTACTTCTATAATAAAAGTACAAAAACAAAAATAACAAAACAATTAATGAGCAAGAAAATAAATAAACATACGTTGATTTGGTCTTGAATAAAAGCTTGGTTCACCATTACGGAAATGAACTAATTTTTCATTTTGCTCATATAATTGAAAGATCTTTTCAACAAGTTGAAGTGAAAGTGCTTGTGTTCTTGATGGATCTGTATGATGCATTACGACTGTTTGACTGGGTTCTTCAAGTGAAGCCTACATAGAAAACGTCACATGAAACTATACTTATTTAAACCAATAAAAAACAAAATACCATAAGTTCTTCATTGATAATCATTTTACTAATAATACCATAAACTTGTTTAACCGGTAATTCAAACATATCAGCTAATGTTGACATTGAAATAGCATCATAAACAGTAGCATAAGTGAATAGGTAAGTACGTAATGATTCTTCTTTAATTTTATCTACGAGCATTTTTCGTACTTCAGTAGCTTGTGGCATCAAATTCCATACCTAAAGAAGAATAAAAAATATCATGTAACTTTCTTTCGCATGATCAATCAATGTGTCAATGATTATCAGCGCTGCAGAGTGAGACCTTCCTGACCAAAAGTCTTGTCACCATCGTTAGTGTCAGTCTCGATCTCTATTCCTTAATAAATGAAATATATAAAATGTGTTGAGCACTATTAATGGATTAGAAACGAAGTTTTCGAACTAACACTTTTGTTACATATAATAGTTCCCAATGATTCGAGTTCGTGGGATTCAAATTTTTTGAACTGGGATTCAATCGAACCTTATTTTGATAATCTCAATGAAAATTTCTAATCAGAATTAGATAGTTGCTCAGAAGATACAAGACTCTTTTTTCCACTGTTTTGTGTTTGGTGACTAGGATACCTTACATATTTCTCAGATGACTAGAGTTCATCAGTTTCAAATTTTTTTAGACTCATACTTAACAAGCTCTACTAATTATAGATTTTATATTGAATCAACAAAATGAAGCATAAATAATGCTGATTTTTTTTTTCTTGATATTTCATTAAATAAGTTTTGTGCTTTGTTTACCTTTCCATTCATTTTTTCATTAATTAAAAAGTTAACACAGGCACTCCAATCGCCTGTTTTCATAGCACGACTTGCAGCAACAACATGTTCACGCATAGATTCTGGTGGTCCAAAGACAGGTTGTTTTTCTGCTTGACGCATTTGTGTATGAAAATGTTTACTAATTGGACGTTTTCGTGCATCATATTCATGTGCTAAAAAAAAAACATCAAAACAATATATTTGTTTGTTTTATATTCATATGTATCAAAAAGAATAAATTTACAAGCCATAAATGGAATTTCAATTAACATAGCTGATACAAGATAAACACATTCAATTAATTCTAAATTAATATGCATATGAAATGGTAATAAACGTTGTCGTTCTTTCATTTCTTGATCACGTGTTCGTTCTTGATTACGTATCATTTGAACTCCTTGGGCTAATAATTCTTTAGCACGATTACCCGATTGCATATCAACTAATGCTTGATGTGCTTCACGTATTGCACCAAAACGAAAAGCACATAAACCTAATTGAACAATAGTTCGATTATATAAAATTTGTGTTGCAACATCTGATGTTGTTATTGTATCTTGCATATGACACATTAACATTAAATCTCGAGCTTCATAATAATGATCATGTAATGCAAAATGATAAACATGACAAAGACTTGCACGTGCACGTGCACGATTAAGTGTATCTTTAGCATAAATATATTTGCAAAGACGATCCATCATAGGAACAGATGGTTGACCAGGTACTTTATCATATTTATAATAAAGATGTTCAATAACACACATATATGCTGTACATAAATGTTGTGGTTGAACAAGTAGAATTGAACCATTTTCAAAATCAGCACTTATCATTACATTATTATTTGCTTTTGATTCTAAATATACTTTTAAACGATCAATTATTGAACAAACACGTAATTCATCTTTTAAACGTTCAACATAATCTTGACTATGAGCATCAGCATTTTGTAAAATTTTTGTAAATTCTTCATCCATTTTAAGAATTATTGTTATTACATCACCATGAATACGATAATCAGGTTCTTTCTATTTGAAACAAAAAAAAAAAA